AAAGAAATTTTGTAAAACTGAAATGTCAATGACAGCCTACTGATGGACAATTTTTGTCGAAATCGTACAAACAATGGGTATTCGTCGGCAGAACAACGAACCCAAAACGAAGAGGATTCAAGTTCGAGCTCCAGTCGGATCATTAATCTTTCTCCCTTCTGAAGCAGGTAAATGAATACCACTTCATGGGAAGGAAACACAAAATTACGTTACAGTAATCATCAACCTATGGACATAGACTCAAAAGAAAAAATATGACGCGGATATTAGTGCCGCACCATAAGCTTCATAAAATGAAGGGCGCAAAGCGGCGTTCAACCAGTCAAGTGTAAAGGAGACCGATATTAGTGGTTACAAACTCCCTTTCCTTTATTATTAGAGAAGCCTGGGGTTTACGTTTGTGACACTGAACTTAATTCCAATGCTATCATCAGCTGAAATGACAGTAAGCAGAGTCACGGTTCATTACTTCCTTTTCGTTTGATTACCTCTAGAGGCTAAAAGGCAAGTGATCAGCCCCCCGAGTCAGTTTCGGGGATTAATAACAAATCAATCTGGATTTCCGTTTAGAATCGCGAATCGTGATATAACAAAACAGAGCGTTACTATGTTCAACAAGCTTTCTTGCTCTGCCAGGCCAATTTCTAATCAAATAAAAATTACTTCAAAATTCTAACGAATGCTTTGTCATGCCAAAGAGCATACAGTCATACACTGTGTAGAGTTTGGAATATGGTGCTGGAAACAACCGAGAACGCGCTATGTAAGGCTAGCTTTGCATTGAAGATAACGAAAATGCGGTACTAAAATCGTATTTCATTGCATACTTTCAAAACCTTAATGAAGATGCTGCCTTATTCGATACTTGAAAAATGCATTTTAAATAAGCAAAGTAACAGCCTTGTTACATGTCAGAATTTTTATAACTACTGCGGCCATTTTACATTTTTCACTTTGTATCATTTCTCCTACCATCACCTTATAATCAATACCTAATATCACGAGTTCTTGTCTAATTCCGTGAGATATGTAAACCATACGTTGTTCTTCAATCTGAGAACATAGTGCACATTAGTTACATGAATCCGTGTCCGTAAAAACCCATAGAAAATAAAAATTGATCAGACAACAACGCGTTGTAACGAATGAGCATTTTAGAGGTAGCGCAAAACAAGGTACTGCACTGCTAACAAAGTCAATGAAAACAACTATAAGTAGCGTACAAAATAAACGACTGAAATAATGGAAACCACGGCAATAGTCGAAAATGACTTACCGTTTCGAAATTACCCAAATGCATAATTTCCATTGGAGATCGGAACAACATTTCTAACTGCTTGCGTTTGCCGGTGAGCAGTGACGATGACTGACCGGTCATTTCGAAGCTTTGTAATTCTATAGAGCGAATTTTGCAAACATTTCCTAACGAATCAAACTGAAAACAAAGTTGCACACTTACCCGATTCTGCCTCAAAATCTTGAAATCGATCGAAAACGGAATTCGTTATTCGACGACGTCTGATTGGCGCTAAAACGACAGCAGTTCAGCCAGTGAAACACAAATAGGTGTTTGGATACAAACCATAAGAAGCTTGAAACGACTCTTCAACTATAATCCCTGACGTCTTTGATATAGGGGGCCGAATTTCGCAA